TCGTTTTAGTTGTTTAGTTACCTCAAGTTAAATTAAGAGGAGTTTTTTTAAAAACCCCACAACCCCCCGGAGCCGGTGGGTTGCTGGGGAATTCTGGGAGTTGAAGTCCACACGTCTTAAAGTTGCCAAGTTTGAAAAACACTAGCTTAGGTGGTCCCCCACTTAACAAGTTATGGATGAGTTTTGCTGAGACTTCTGAGGCTAGTCCTCTTGATAAGATTGTGTGAAATGAAGAAGTTGGACAGGAAACCTTTCTGGTTCTCAATCCGTGAAGTCTCCATCTCATTTACACCTCCACCACTCAGAAATATCAGTGCTTACCTTCCGGAAGATTCCTTGTCTTTGAGCCGGGGACAAGTCCAGTGCCCGCTGTGCCAAGGCACTCTGGATCGCCTGAGAGAGTTCATTGGGATTCATGTTGTAGAAGGACAAGGTGTCAATGCCAGTCACCAAAGCCCCCATTTGACTAACGTTGTGAAACAACAACGCCTAACAAGAGAATCCAGGACAAGGAGATCAGGATGTCAAGGGAGGCATCCCGAGATCAAGAAAACTTTGTGCTTGACTCTTTTCGTTCTTGTGTTGAGTAGAAAATTGCTTGGAAAAGAAGAGGACTGAAAAGCCATTTATGGTGAGGGACAGCTGTTCAAGGAGGAGGGTGAAAAAACAGCATCCATTTCTGCAATCTTAGGCAATTTGTTATATTTTCCCCCTCTCTGTTCCTCATTGTTTTTCTCCCTACCACATCTCGTTGGACTGTAAGCCTGAGGATACCATTTTTTAAAATAATATAAACTAGTGTTTCTCAACCTTGGCAACTTTAAGGTGTGTGAACGTCAACTCCCAGAATTCCCCCTGGCTCCAAAAACATGCCTATCGTTGACATCTCAAATTAATATCTGAATCTCCCTCCAACAAACCAAACCAAACCAAGTGTTCACCCACATTAACTTCACAAGAACCCTGCCAAGTAGATGAAGTCAAGAGAGAATGAATGCTCCAAGCTCAGTTGGTGTGATTATGTTCAAATAACCACTAAGTATTAATGTGGTTTGCTAGGCTTTGGCTGAGTGGGAGGTGTGAACCACCTCTTGTAGCTTACAAACCATGATTGATGGCTGAAAGGATAGTGTGAACCTAGCCAAGTGTGCTTATTCAATAAATGGTTCGGTAAACCACCATTTGCCCAGTATGTGAACTCAACCAGCAAGCGTTGCAATGGGCTTGGAATTAACCCAACACTCCCAACTGTCTCAAGAGATACCTCAGCAAAAGAGGTTCAAACCAAACAGATGCCTTGGACAATACCTTTTCATAAAGCAGATATTTGCCGGATAAAACTATAATTTGGCTTTTGGCCCATCCGGAGACTTGGTTTAATGTGGAGATTGCAGAATGCACAGCTCTGGGGGAGAGAGATTCCAGCTGGCTGGTTGCCAGTCCAACGACGGCATCTGAGAGGGTGCCCAGAGTGTCATTTAAAGTCTGGTTTTGCACGGCAACGTTGAGAAGTTGGGACTTCAGCTGGAACCATTCCAAGGATAGCAATAATCACAACAAGAACCACAAGGCTTTGAAGAGCTGATGTTGAGAAGCTCAGGCACATGGTTTTCAAAGTCAACTGCCTTTCTCAAAGACAAAAGAGACCACCGCAAAGCCCTTGGCAGTGATGTTGTCACAGTTCCTACCTACCTTCTGAACATTGGCCTGGAAGTTTCTCAGCTGGTGACATTTAATCATTTGGTGAAGCAATGCCCGAGCTATGGTGGAATCCATCTCTGCCAGATCATAGTAGAAACAAACCAGCAAACCCAGCCTAAGTGAGGAACAACAGAGGTTAGTTGACTTCCCTTTCTCTGGATTTTGTTTTATTCTGGAGGGATTGCATTTTCTTTTCTTTTTTCTATCTTCATTAAGTTTATTTTAGACTTGAGGTGTTTTCCACCTCAAAATAGTAGGCAACTGAATTCTAACACCCAGAATTGCTTCTTGGTGCCCTTCAAGAAGTTAAATGTAGCTCTCATCCCATAGATATCATCTCTGTCTAGCTGGGATGAGCAAAGTGGACACCAACAGTTTCCAAATTATCTTGAGCCAAACTCAACATCCAAAATGCATCATTAAGGGAGGGGCTTTGAACAATTTCATGCTTCTCCTCATGGAACAGACCAATCAGACAACTTCACAAAACTTCAAAGAACTATGAACTTGGAAGAGACCATCAAGACCATCTAGGAGTTGGAAGGAGCACAAAGACCTTCTAGGCCAACCCTTTGCAATGTGCAAGGAGACTAACTCAACCATCTACAAGAGCTGGCTCTTCTTAAAAACCTCCAGATGGAGAACTCACAACCTCCATAGGTAGACTGTTGCATTGTTGTTCAGTTCTTACCCTCAGAAAGTGTTTTCCTTATATTTAAATTAAATTTAGGCAGTGCAACTTTAATTTCTGAGCCTAGTTTCTGTAGCCATAGAAAATAGTTCTTGACTACCTTCCCTGTAGCTTCCGTGTTACTTGAACATGGCTATCATGTTCCCTTCAGTCTTCTTTCCTCCAGACTGAACATCCCAAGTTCCTTCAGCCTGCCCTCATACAGTGTGTCCTCAAGTCTCCATATCATGTTAGCTGAGTTCCTCTGAATTTCCCATATATTGCAAACTTTCACACATTTAAGGTACCCCTCCTTAGCCTTCAAAATGCAACCCTGAAAAAAACATAAAACTTGCCTGTACAAAGTTGTTATGTTCCGCATATCAAAGCCAGATGCGTTGATTCTTTCCAAGAAGGCTTGTGCAAGATCTGGTGTGATATCATACACCGTATCCAGTTGCTTGGTTGCATTGTCGTAGCTGACAAATAACCACATCTAAGCAGCAGAGAAAAGACAAGTGAGAGAGAAATTAATGAAGTCCTTTCAGTAGCCATAAATGAGGTCTTGACCAGCTAAACATCTGATTAATTATTTTGGTATGTCAAGAAATCAGAGGGTCTCTCCAAATGTTGACGTTCTGTAGCAATTTATCCATCAGATTCTTTAGACTCTTTAGACTCAACCTAAAATAAAATTCCACTAGATTTATTGAAGGAATAAGAGTTTAAATGATTACAGAAGTTCCAGCAAATGGGTAACTTTCAGTCTTGAGTTCAGGGTTTCTGCAGGGTGGTCAAAAATGTTAAGATGGCAGCCACAAAGGAAGAGCTTCAATTGCACCATTGTGGCCACCATCTTGACTTTCTTTACTATACCCTGCAGAAACTTTTTCAGCTTCTTGAAAACAATGGTGCTGTAAACCACGAAGTGGGAACCATGAACCATGGTCTTCTCCAACTAGCTGGAGAAGATGCAAGGATTTAACATCTCCCAAACCACTTCTGGAATCTTTCTCAAGTTCTGAACAAACACTTAGATCAGCACATGAAAGAGGGAAAACATTTTTTTCCAACCAGAAACCAGAAACTTTAATTTTAAGCTGATATTTTTCCCCCAGCCCCTAAGATGCCATCACTGAAGGGGCAGAGCTGAAATAAGAATGATTTTGCATGGAAACAACCTGTTCATAATAAAATACATGTGTGTAATCTAGTTCCTTTGAATATTTTAAATGTGGTTTGCCAAAGCAACAATCTAAGTGTTAAATTGAAGGCTATTTTCTGTTATACGTTTTTATATTCTGGTTTTTAAAACAAACTTTAAATAAAGACCCATTTTTGTCTAGCCCTGAATGTTTGGAAGATTTCAGCAAAATCCACACACCCATTTTTGGGTTTGTTTGCTTGAAGTCCCTAAGAACTACAGTCCATAATAATCTAGAATGGAGGGATAGGTAGCAGGAAATTGATGGGACAGTACATTTAATCCTTAATAGCACCTCAATAGGTCCCAGCCTTCATACTGGTATTTATCTTGATATTTTTGAAAAAGGAGTTTGGTGATTTTATTATGTAGCATAAATCCTTCAATTCATGGATTTTTCAGGTTTCCAGAATCCAAAAATTGTCTGCAAATGATATTAACAGAAGAAATCCAGAAATGTTTATGAAAGGTCCCCAGAGCTCCATGGTAGACATTCCATAACTGGTCTTTGTAGGCAGACATTATTTTTACTTACTTCATACGGGTTACTTTTCCTGATTTCTTCAAGGGGGAGATGAACCATATACCTGCCCAGAATCCACAGGTTTTCAGCGCTGACCCAAGACGTGGAATTCTCTGAAGCTAGGAGAATGAACATCAATCGCATGAGTAGCTACCTCTAGGAACATCAGCAATGTTAAAAGCTCATTAGTAGGTCCTGCAAGCAAAATGTGCTGTTTGTGGTGGAAAATGCCAGGAGAAAAAAGGAAATACAGTCAGGGCAGATCAGACAAGAAGTTTGGGAAGGAGGAATGCAAACTCCTAGATGAGTGTAGGGATGTTCTTGATGAAGTATGGAAGAATCACGACTTGGGTAAAAGGGGCTGAAATCTTTTTTAAGTTCTGAGAAACAAGATAACATTCAGAGGAGGCTCAGGAAGAACACTTCCTAGATCTACTGGAATAGAAGAGGGGGAGGTCCAGCACAGTCAGACTTGCAAGAATCTGTTATTACAGCCAATCTTTAGCCTTCCTGTGAAGTGGATTTCCTGATCTGGTCTCCCTAGTGGGCTGATCTCAATCTTGCAAGTTTGATTCTGTTGCATCTCCTCCCCCTTCTCCTCCCCCCCTTCTTATACTCCAGCGAATCAAGGAGGCATCTACTTGAACTTCCAAATGTTATCTCGTTGCTCTGGATTTAGATGTTTCAGCCCCTTTTGCCTAGTAACAGTTCTCACATATTTCCATCAAGATCATCTTCCTTACTCTCTACAGCAGTGTTTCTCAACCTTGGCAACTTTAAGATGGGTGGACTTCAACTTCCAGAATCCCCCAGCCAGCATGCTGGCTGGGGGATTCTGGAAGTTGAAGTCCATCCATCTTAAAGTTGTCAAGGTTGAGAAATACTGCTTTACAGTAAGGGAAACCCAGAAGGAACGTCCCCAATCCTTCTCAAGCTGGACTGCATCAGAGGCTGAAAGAGGAATTCCAGATCTCATTTCTCAGCCTTTGGGCCAAATCAAGACTGGACGTCACAATGATTAGACTGACCGAACAGCAAAATTCAACCAGCGTTTATCTATTATTTTTGCTCTACTGCCCTCTACTGAACATCATCAAAATGATATGATAAGGTAAAACCTTCTTCAGGCCCAGCTCAGCTCTTGGGGACTTACAAGATATATCCACATAGTTTTCTTGGCAATGGAGATAGTTTTGCCTTTCCAGTTGAGCTGACCATTCTAAGGTTTCCTTGGGGTCACCCATACAAATACTAACCAGATCCCCTTCTCCTTAGCTTTAAAAAACTGGGTGGGTGCTCCTTGCTGGACGGGTGCCAGCTGGATGGGTGCTGCTTTTGCTGTAGTTTTGTGTAAATCACCCACAAACACACCCTGAGACACGTGCACGTGCATGCATGCACACAGATAAATAACATATTTCACTTGCCACTGGCATTGTACGATGGTTGTAGGTTCTTCATCATCCATTCATACACAGCCCTTTGAGTATTGGCAGTTAGCCTGTCGTAGAGGTCTTTGAATACTATTGACCTAGAAGACAAAGATCACACAGGGATCAGACAGGATGCCCCAGCAATTTGTTTGCAAAAAGTGATCCAGCCAAAATGTCTCGGGACTGCACAAAAACTGAGAAAAACCAGGTCAACAGAGCAGGTAACTGATATAACCCTAGAGGAAGGGAAGTCCTGTGTAATGGTCTGTGGGAATGACCTTGGGAGACAGAAGGAGGAGAGACAGACTGGACAACTGGCATGTAAAAGATATCTCATCCCACAGAAGAAGAGGTGACGTGGGAAGCGTTTCAGAAGGGACTTTCCCTGGTTTTCCGGGGAGTAAAAGGAGAAGAGGGAGAGGAGAAAGACTTTCAGACTTGCAAAGCTCTGTTCATGTAACCTTACAATAAAGATAGAGCTAGTATTCATGGTTGTGCTTCTTGAATGGACTGCCTTGAAGGGCTAACACCCTGTCTTGGAGCTGAGAGCACACTTGGTATTTTGAGTGTGTGTGGTAGGTGTGTTCACAAAATGGCTGCCACAAGAGAATGGCTTGTCAAGGTTGCTGCAGACCATCACACAATACCCATTTGCCTGTAGACCGACTAAGACCCCAGGATACAGGGGGTGTCTGGTAGTCCTTCTCCAACTAATAAATCCTATGAAATTCACATCAGCACTTGCAAATTGCAGCTCCCTTCATCAGATGCATGGAGCAGCAATGCATCTGGAGCCACCCCTCCAAGCGTCTGATGAAGGGAGCTGCAATTCACAACAGCCGAGACCTTTTAATAGGATTTGTTAGTTGGAGAAGGTGCTACCAGACGCCTCCTGAATTTTTCCTACTGGAGATTCACACAGCTTTCCTCCTCCTAAGTTGCCAGGAAGTTCTCTACTCCCCTCATCTGGACTTTTATGGAGTCCAAAATACAATATAATGCTAGAAACTGGGGCTTGGCTTTGCATGATACCAGCTTACTCCTTGCTTTTAAAAAAAAAAATCAAAGTAACTTATTGAAAAAAGTAATCAGGTGGAGCAGAATGTCTGGTGGGCTCAGAGGAAGGTGTCAGAGAAGACATGGGTGTTCATGGACATCAAGGTGCTGAGCCCTCCCTTTCATTGCAGAAATATTAAGTAACTGTTTTCCTTCTGCATAATAAACAGTTGAGAAAGTGACTTACAGATTTCGGAAAGCATCTTTCGGAAGATCTTGCGGGAAGCTTGCCACGTTGTGGGCTTGGAGATAAGTGGCCGAAGAGGCTTGAAGGATCTGGCTTAAGATGTCCACGCATTCAGCAGAATTGAGGAGCAGAAAGCACTTTTCTAACGTAATAAGGACCAAGGTACGGTTCCCCCCGGGACTTTGGAAAAGTTTCTCTCTTATTCCAGGTAGGTCGATCAGAATATTTCCCAGTTCCTGGAGATACAGGAAAGATATCTAGCCATGGGAAGGCAAGTGAGATGTCAGACCGTAGCTCTGCAGGGCTGTCACTGGAGAGTTAGAAAATGAACGATTGGTGGTTGCCTTCTGATGATGATGGAGAAGGAGAAGGAGAAGGAGAAGAAGAAGGAGAAGGAGAAGGGGGAGGG